ATTGGCGAGTGGTGTTGGAGGAAGCTAACCTTAGGATGAGCCACCTCTGGGCTGGAGTAAGAGCGATTCAGCGAGGTATCCCCTTCCCTTCGTTGAAGTAGACTTGGAATGTGCTTCTAACTCGCTACTTCAATCATACCACTTATGGTAAGTCAAGGTTGAACCCATTAACCGTTGGAGAGTTTGTGATTGCAAAAAGATTAATGAAGAAGCTGACCGTCCCTAGTGCGAGCGAGTCTATCGCTAAGCATCGGGAAAAGCGGAAGAGGGAATCATCGGCCAAAGAGGAGAGAAGAGCGGAAGGTGTGGTAGCGACTCCACCAAGTCGTCAGCCTCCCACCGGAGGAAGATCATCACAGACCACGGTCTTGGATGAGGATACTGAGATGATTACCTTTAAGATTTCGGCTTCCACATCGACCTATTCTGATACGGCTTCCATGACCTAGTTAGCGGACTCGTTCCTATTCCTAGAGGACGAGACCCGTATGAACCAGATGGGTGCGATCGCGGTCGTTGATTAAGGGGTATCCTGTGCTTTCCAGGTATGGGCAGGAGTTTTTTCTTTACTATGTTTATCGTGGTCGTATACTAATCAAATTTTTTCATTATGTAGGCGTTCACGAGTAGCTTGCATTTGAGGAAGTCCATCGTGGTGCAAGAGAAGAGGATACAGCATGTGTCCAAAGCGAATACTAGTTTGCGCCAGAGAGAGGCGGCAGCCCAGAGGGCCAAACAGGAGAGCCAGCAGCATCTGAGGGAGGCCGAGGGTGGGCTAGAGCGGCTAAGGAGGGAGCTAGCCGAGAAGACTGCAAAGGTTGAGTCCCTAAATGAGCAGTGCCTAAACATTGCCGATGATGCTATCATTAGGGCCAGGGGAGAGCTCATGCTTAAGTACAAGGCCGGGAACACCTCTCACTGGAACTTGGATGAAGACATCCAACTCATGCGGAGATAATGGAGGAGGAAGGTGTCGTTGGGCATACGGAGGAGCAAATTGATGAGCAGGTGCTCGATTCTGCTAGCCAACCGAGGCCATCGACTATTGAGGATGTGAGCGACTAGGCTGTAGGGATGAGTGCCAGGGCTGGTGATAGGGTGATCGAGTTGGAGATAGGTGAGACGACTCGCACCAGTGAGACTTAGCTTTTTTTTTTTTTTTTTGCTCATGTATTTTTGGGGCCTGTGATGCCCTTTCCTGGCGTGTGTGCCTCACATTGTACTTGGAACTCAGCTGCTTGAGGCTTCTTGTATATTATACTTGTTTTTGATGCTTTCCTTATGGGTGAATGAGTTGATTGATTGTTTGTTCGTAGATGCACTAGGGGTTGAACCGCATGCTTGTGTTATGATTTTGGTGTGGCCAAGTGGTTGAGTCGTGTGGACTCTCTATTGGGTTGGTTCGATGACTTGTCCATTTTGAGGTGCAAGAACCCTTCAATCGGTTTGGGCCGACTAAGTGTGTAGCTTTACGAATCGGGCAGGGCTGATCGAAGGTGTAAACTCATGAACCGGACTGGGCCGATCGAAGGTGTGAAAACTGATGAATCGGGCAAGGCCGATTCAGGGTCGATTCGAAGGTGTAAATTCATGAATCAGACACGGTCGATTCGAAGGTGTAAACTCGTGAGTCGGGCAAGGCTGATCGAAAGTGTAAACTCGTGAATCGGGTAGGGGCGATTCAAAGGTGTAAACTCATGAATTAGGTAGGGGCGATTCGAAGGTGTAAACTCGTGAATTGGGTAAGGCCAATTTGAAGGTGTAAACTCATGGATCGGGAAAGGCCGATCGAAGGTGGAAAAACTCATGAATCGGGTAGGGCCGATCGAAGGTGTAAATTGCTGAATAATATTTTATTGAATTTAGGCCATGAGGCCGACTGTCTGTGAATGAGGTAGATAGGCCCACTCATCCCTTTTTTTAAATAAAAACAAAAAGAAAACAAACATATAGACGAATGAGTTCACCTAAAAGTAGTAGCGTTTGAGGTGGACTACATTCCAATTGTTGCTGATGTCTTTACCTTTGGGAGTTTGGAGTCGGTAGGCGCCCTTCCCTGCTTCTTTGGTGATTTTGTAGAGACCCTCCCAGGTAGGGCCGAGCTTGCCCGAGTTGATCTCCCTAGTATTTTGAAAGACCTTGCGGAGGACCCAGTGCCTGTTTTGAAAGTTCTGATCCTGATATTGAGGTTATAGTATCGAGAGGCCTGCTACTGATAGACTACGTTGCGGATGTTCACTTGCTTGCATAGCTCGTTGACGGTGTCCAAGTTCTGGCAAAGGTTCTGGTTGTTGATTTCCTCGTCTGCCCATTGGGGTTTGGCCAAAGGAACCAATACTTTGGCTGGAATGATTGCCTCAGATCCATATGCGAGGGAGAAAAGAGTTTCGCTCGTTGATGAGCGAGTTGTAGTTCGATACGACCAAAGGACTCCTAGTAGTTCATCTATCCATGCACCCTTGGCTTTCTACGAGCGCTTTTTCAAAGTCTGTATGATGGTTTTATTTGATGATTCAGCCTGGCCGTGGTTGCTGGGGGTAGAGAAGCTTAGCTTGATCCCCCATATGTCGCAGAAATCCCTAAAGCCTGAACTAATAAATTGGGATCCATTGTCTGTGAAGATTTCCTTCAATATCCCAAACCTGCTTTCCAAATGAAAGCTTTTACCTTCGGTCTTTGACTTGTGCAAATGCTTCGGCTTTGATCTACTTGGTAAAGTAATCAGTCACAGCCAACATGAAGACTCGCTGCCCGGGCACAGTCGGGGGCTTTCCTACTATATCTATTCCCCACTTCATGAACGGCCAAGGTGTGAGAGTGGAGTGAAGTTGTTCGGGTGTGAGGTGTGAGACGTGGGTGAACCTTTGACAGTTGTCACATCTTTTCACATAAGCTGCTGAATCAGTGCGTATGGTTGGCCAATAGTATCCAGCGGTGATCACCCGGTGTGCGAGGTTGCATCCTACCGCATGTTTTCCACATTCGCCTTCATGGAGTTCGACGAGAACCCGTTTGGCCTCTTCTGGGGTTATGCTCTTGAGGTAGGGACTAGAGAATGACTTCCTAAGGAGTTGGCCCTCATACATGGTAAACCTGGCGACTCTCGCTCTTAGGTAGCGTGCTTTGTTCTTGTCGGCTGGGAGCTCATTGTGTTCCAAGTACTTCACTATCGGGGTCATCCAAGAGTTGGCCAGTTCGATGTCCGTTGTTTCTTCAAGCGCCACTTGTTGGTTGTTCCTTCCAGTTGGCCGGCCATTGTAGGAATAAAAGTGGGATGGATGACTAGGAAGAACATTGAAGGGCTAAGCCGAGATCAGTAAGGGCATCAGCATGAGTATTCTCCACTCTTGGGACTTGGGCGATGGAGAATTCTTCGAATTCAGTCTGTAATTCTTTGACCAGGTTCAAATAGGTCGTCATCTTTGAGTCACATGCTTGGTAAGTGCCTTGCAGTTGGTTGACCATGACTTGGGAGTTAGATTTTACCTTCAGCCTCCTTACTCCGATTTCTTTGGCTAAAGAGAGTCCTGAGAGTCTCGTATTCGGCTTCGTTACATCGTATGGCCGCTGGATGACGTCTCCTTTTGGTGTAGTTAGTACTAACCCCGGCTCGCTGCCATTCACATTGCTTGAGCCATCCACTAAGAAAGTCCACTTTGAAGGTGACCCACTGTTTATGCATAATAACTCTCTTTCTGCTTGGACGGTGGTGTTCAGGGTGAAATCAACAATGAAGTCTGCCAGTGCTTAGGACTTGACAATAGTACGTGGCTGGAAAGATATGTCGAACTCACTAAACTCTACCGTCCATTGCGTGAGTCGGCCTGATAACTCTGGCTTATGTAGTATCTTCTTGAGTGGAAAAGAGGTGAGTACGACTATGGAGTGGCACTGAAAGTATGGCTAAGCTTCTTGGATGCATGGACGAGGGCGAGGGCCAGTTTCTCCAGTTGATTGTATCGTGTTTTGGCGTTGAGGAGTGACTTACTTACATAGTAAACCGATAGCTGCTTCATATTATCTTCCCAAACTAACACTGTTGAGATTGCTATCTCTAAGACCGCCAGGTAGGTGAAAAGCTTCTCCCCATCTATAGGCTTAAAAAAGAGCAAAGGGGAGGTCAAGTATCTTTTCAATTGTTGCAAGGATTCCTTGCAGGGAGGGGCCCATTCAAACTTCTTAGATTTCTTGAGTGTGTGGAAGAAGTGGTGGCACTTGTCAGCGGATTTAGAGATGAAGCGGCTCAAGGCGGCCACTCTTGCAAGGTGTTGGACATCTTTGATGCAAGTTGGTGATTCTATCCCCCACTGAGTTACCATGTATCCTAAGAATTTACCTGACGAGACACCGAACGAGCATTTGGCTAGATTCAGCTTTATGTCATACTTCCTTAGGACGGCAAATGCCTAGTTGAGGTGGTCAAGGTGCCGCTCGGTCGTCAGGGACTTGACGAGCATGTCATTGATATAAAAGTCCATGGTGTCCCTGAGGTGTTCGGTAAACATTCTGTTGACTAGCTGCTGATAGGTAGCCCTGACGTTCTTGAGACCGAATGGCATCACCTTGTAGCAGTAGGTTCCTCTCTCTGTGATAAATGATGTCTTCTCCTGGTTTTCGAGGTGCATCAAAATCTAGTTGTACCCTGAGAAAGCATCCATGAAACTTAGGAGCTCATGGCCTACAGTCGCATCGACCATCATGTCGATATGTGGGAGAGGGAATGAGTCCTTAGGGCATGCTTTGTTTAAGTTGATGAAGTTAATGCAAACCCTTCACTTTCTGTTCTTTTTCTTTACGACCATAACGTTTGCTAGCCATTCGGGGTAGTGGACCTCTCTAATCAGATCATTACTCAGTAACTTGTCAATCTCTTCATTGACAATCCGATTGCACTCTGGTGCGAACTTCCTTCGCCTTTGCTTCACTAGCGGGTGATCCGGATCTACTTTGAGGTGGTGGACCATTGCCTCTGGGCTAACTCCTGTCATGTCAGTGTGGGACTAGGTGAAACAAACCTGGTTTTGTCTGAGGAATTCTATGAGTTTCTCTTTTGTCTTAGGCCTAAGGCAAGAACCTATATGGGTCTTTCTTTCAAGGCCTTTCGAGTGTATCTGTACTTCATCCAACTCTTCCAGAGATGGTCGATCCAACCTGCTTTTGAAGGCGTTCTTGTAACAAACTCTAGAAACCTTAGCGTCGCCCTTGATTTCCCTTACTCCCCATTTTGTACGAAACCTGATCGTTTGGTGAAAGGTGGATGGAATAGCTCGCATGTCGTGGATCCAAGGTCGGTCGAAGATGATGTTGTATGGTGAAAGATAGTCGATCACTAGAAAAACGGTTTGCTTGTTTACTCCGCTAGCGTAAACAGGAAGGACGATCTCTCCGATGATGTATTTCTGCTCGAAACTGAACCTGACCAGTATGGTTGGTCGTCTATTGATGTTTATTTCTTCCAGACTCATCGCCTTTACTGCTTCAAGGAAAAGAATGTTTGCCGAGGACCCCCCATCTATGAATACTTTCTTGACCAGGATGTTGGCGATCTGGAAGGAAATGACTAGAGCATCGTGATGAGGGGCGGCCAAGGTGACTAGCCCATCATCTTTGAACTGAATTACCTGGTGGGTGTGTGACCGAGAGGATGGATGGATGGATTGGATTTCATGGTTGTTTTTGGCTCTGGCGTAGCGTTTGGCTAAGGAATAACTGACCCCACTGATCTCTGACCCTCCTAAGATGATTGAGCAGAATCCTTTTAGCGTAGGTTCCCATGAAGGTGGAGATGTTTCTTTCGTGCTTTTCTGGCTGATGGTATTCTTCCCTTTATCTGTCAACAGATCTTGGAGATGTCCCCTCTTCAATAATGCAGCGACCTCCAACCGCAGGGCAATGCAGTTCGCGGTGTTATGTCCATGGTCGTCATGGAACTCGCACCACTTGGTCGTGTCTCTCCTTGCTTTGGCATTGAGCTTGCCTGACCACTTAACGCTAGACCCTATTCCTTTCATGATTGCTACAACCTGGGCCGGTTCGAGATGAGGTTGTACTTTGGGATTTTGTATCGACTCGATCCGGTTGGTCTGTTGTTGGTTCTAAGTGGCTGGCAGTCATATGGTTTTCTGACTTTGTTAAGATTGCGTGGAGGGGGTTGGTGACTAGGTTCAATCAATCTGAGCTCTGGCCTCTTATCATTCCGCCTTAGGTCATCCCTGGCATGACTTGCCCGATTCATCTCATCTTCCTCCCACCTTATTTGAATCACCGTTCTGGCCAAGGCGTCTTCCATCATGGTGCAACCAAGCTTTGTCAGTTCTTTGTATAATTCACCATCCAGGAGGAGACCCTTCCTGAAGGCGTCTATGGTCGTCTCAGGGTTACAGGAAAGGATGAAGATTTTTTCTTTGTTGAATCTGCTGACGTATTCTCTCAATGGCTCCCCCTTTTTTCTGGTATACTCTGTACAGGTTGGCCGACAGTTTCTCAAGTTTCTTGTTGTTGGCGAATTGCTCCACGAAGGTGTCGGTAAGCTGTGCGAATAAGTTGATTGAACCGTTTGGGAGGTTAGTGTACCATTGAAGAGCCGGACTAGATAGACTTGAACCAAAACTCTTGCACAAGCAAGCTTCCCTTAGCATTTGGAGTATCGAGACAGTGAACATTCATTGCTTGTATAAGGCTATGTGATCATCTGGGTCGGTTGTGCCGTCATAGGGCTTCATGCTAGGGATAATGAATTCGTGGGGCATGTTCGCTAGCGCGATCGCATCCACGTTATGTTTGATTTATTTATCACATCTGAAATTTAACTTTCAATAGGAAGAATATTAATACCTATAAATGTTTGATTTTTTAAGCATATGTTTGATTTGTTTGACTTTGACATATAAAATTTATTTTTCCAAGATTTTCATGAATTTTTTTATCACATGTGCAGATTTAATTTTATAAATAATTATATTTGTACAGGTTTATTCTTCAAAGTTATAAACCTTAAATATTTTTACGTAATTAAACCCGTTAATCCGGGTATAGTGACCTAGATTTTCTATCAAGGTAGACTTGGCCCAACCCAAAATATCAAAACCCAACATCAACACTTACTTGGGTCTGGACCTATACAAACTTTGATCTTACCCAAAAATTTGACACCCTTGAAGTAAATGTAAAATATCTAGGGGCAATGACTTTTAGACGCCACCTATTTGATCAGAATCCCACATTACTAACTATGCTTAAATTATTTTATATTTAAAAATTTCTCTTTCAACCCTAATACCCATGAAACCTTAATTAGTGTATTAAATAGGATTTAAAGAGAAATTTCAATTTTATAATCAAAATAATGCAAAATTTGAAAAGTGGCAGTGTATTTTCATAAAAACAATGTGTATGATAGTTTAATTTAAGGATTTATGCAAGAAATAAAAGTTTAAGATTATAAAATAGAGTGTGGATTTAACACAAAAAAACTTTAAAAAATGGGGGACACTAATCAAATAAGTGAGGGTTAAAAATCACTTCCCAATATTTATCTATTCCACTAGGGTTAATTTCATCTGTACGAAAGGATGGATAGGTATCCTAACACCCTCGACAATTTTAAAAAGATATCAATAATATTTATTTACGTTCTTTTTCTTGGAATGATTGCTACAATAAACTTTGGTAAATCCTTTTTTTCTTTAAAAAAAAAAGGGTACATAATTACATGCTTACAATACTTGTTTGACATTTAGCACCCCTTTCAAGTAAGCCTTTTGCCCCATCTAAAGCCCAAGCCCAAAATGAGCAGGCAACTAGCCCAACTCAGCCTACATGGTTCCTTCAATTTCTCTTTCCAATTAGTTCTTTCACCACTATAAGGGATTGTTAAAGTGACAAACAAACAATGGTAATGTTACCGGTCTAACATTACGGTAGATATAATTTAGGGTTCATTTGTTTAATTATTTTGGATAAGATTTTTGGTATTTTTAGAGTTGGTGAGAATAACGAGGTAGGATTTAAAAATTAACAAAAACACCCCTCTAGGTTTGCTAATTTACTAAACACCCCAATATATAAAATAAAAAAAACACCCCCACCCACAGTTGCCAGATTTCGGCCACCACCACCGGAACCTGGCGTTACGGCGATATGGTCTTTTTCGACCAGATCTACGGCCATTTCTAGCCATCGTTGACGACCAGCTACGACCAAAGATCTAGTCGAAAAATGATAGATCAACACACTAACGGCCAGATCCAGCTGATAGTGTGCCATTATACTAGATTCTGGCCACCTTCCGACGGTGGTGGCTGGAATCTGACAAATGTGGGTGGGTTGGGGTGTTTTTGTTAATTTTTAAACTTTTTTATACTAGATTCCAGCCGTTGTTTTCAATGTTTTTGCAGGTAGTAGGTGAGATGCGATCACTTGAAACGTTAAGAAGCGGAAGGGTTTGACAACACTGTCGAGTTGATGTTTTGTGACTTTATTTCATTATGTAAAGATTTGTATATAAAGAAAAATTAGTTATAGGCCCATTATTTTATATTTATCTACATATATATTTTCTTATATATTTTTAGTGAGTTTTACTATTATTTTATGAGTATACTAGCTAGAGAGAGAGCATTACAAAACACCACTCCGGTGTTTCCCGTTTACTTTATGCTTGTTTTGTTGCGTGTGTGGGTATAACAAATTGCTAATAACCTCAACCTCACAGGATAAATCCCTATCTTCGTAAATTTTTTCAATCTACACTTTACTTTCTGATAAATATGTCATATAAATAAATTAACATCTGACAACAATTAACAGCTCAAACTAACAGAGTTTGGATGACCAAATAATGGTGCCCATGTCTGCGTTTTTCCTCTGCTGGGCCCTTGGATGTTTGCCACCTTGTATAGATTAAGATATCCAATGGCTGAAATCAGTTGTAGACTTGTAGTTGACCCCGCAAATGCTATCAGAACTGGGAAGTTTGTAACAGACTAACAGTTGCTCTCGAGAAGACAACTGTAGAAAATAAAAAATAATAAAAACAAGGAAAACGACACATTTATGTTCACTAAACATTCTTCTTTATTTTTTTAAGCATTTAGATATGGGTTAAATTGTTATAATAAAGTTTCGATTATTAAGCCATCATTACTCTTGAACATTATTCAAGAGGTTGTTGTTAATAGGAATTATCACTAAGAGGATTTATCTCAAGTCGGATGACCACAAGGAGATTTATCTAGTTATCAATTTCAGGATCCCAAAGAATTAGCTGATGTGCACATAAACTGATTCGAACTCTGATGACAAATACAAAGAAAAAAAGATTGACTAATTATGATTTAAATACAATTCTTTAAACATAAAAGAGAAGCTAATAATGAAATGATATGATTAATAATTTTTTCTTTTTTCATACCATCATATAATTACATCTTAATGATCAAGAAATCATATGCTTTTTTCTCTTGGGAACAGTGATAATTCCAAGTCATTAAGAAAGTCAATTAAGAGTTTAGATAATAAATTAATAACATTAAGAAAAATAAAGGTGATGAAAGGGTGGTTCTGTAGTTACTTTACGTTATCCCCACAAACAGAAGCATCTAAATTATTCATTTCATGCATTCATTCATCCATTCAGATCATCAAACCTAAATATAGTCGAAAGGTTTGCTGACACAACACACATTAATACCCACTTCTTGTGTCAGCATCTAACTCATCATCATTCAGTCAGTTCCCTCCTCTTGTGTTGTGTTCTGTTCTGTTCTGTTTTGAGTGGGTTTCATTAAAAAAAATTTTCTCTATCTGTTTGCAGTTGTGTCAATTGGGATTGGTCAAGAAAAATATTCTCAAAAAAAATCAAAACAAGGGGAAACAAATCTTTTTTTTTTAATCTAAAAATCCAATCTTTGTTGTAAAGATCCAAGCTTTGTGTTTTTTGATATGGAGTTAGTGCCATATTCAGGGGACCTAGATGGAAAACCGAGTTCTGCAACTATTCAATTGGTCCGTTGGAGGACGAATTTAAAATTTAGTAGCCTCTAAGGCTCTAACGGTCGAATTTGAAATTTAAAAAAATCAAGTTGTCCTTGTTGGGTCTACTAGAACGATAGGGACTGACCTGATTAGTTTTAATAAATATGAAATGGAAAAAATAATAAACTAATAAATAATAATTTTATCATATATTATACATATATAATAATAATTTTATCTGAAATAACATATAAGAACGTGGAGAACAAGAAGCATATGTGTAAACGTTTCTCTCCCATTTTAGGAACTGCATTTTTTAGTCAAAGCTTGAACTCCATGATCACAAATAATGATCCAAAACACCGAAAAATTTAATGAAAAACTAAATAGTAGTTTCTTATTGAACACTTATGTTCACATAAATAATAATTGGTTGATTGGATTTGGGTGTGTGCTCTTCCTTTTTATTTTTCACTATTTGTTTGTGTGATTGTTTGTTTTCTTTGATTCCCAAACGCTCTCTAGTTCCTTCACTTTTCTGATTTCTTGCAGTTGAGTTAATTTTGGAGTTACATCAAAAATATTGAAACTGGGCTGAAGTTGATCATACCTAAGTGAGCTCAACAAGTGTTCTGACGGACCCAGGGTAACAAAATGATAAANATAATAATAATAATTTTATCATATATCATACATATATAATAATAATTTTATCTGAAATAACATATAAAATAAATTATATTTAATCAATGTAATTGTGAGATTAATCCTTTAATAAATATGAAATTAAAAAATGGAAAAACTAATTTAGCAAAAAACAATAAACTAATAAATAATAATAATAATAATAATTTTATCATATATCATACATATATCATAAGAATTTTATCTGAAATAACATATAAAATAAATTATATTTAATCAATGTAATTGTGAGATCAATCCTTTAATAAATATGAAATTAAAAAATGGAAAAACTAATTTAGAAAAAAATAATAAACTAATAAATAATAATAATAATAATAATTTTATCTGA